AGCAAGGCACGCCCGATTGTGTCTTACACTCAGACAGTCAGTGCCCCACTCAGCCAGACAGTGGCCTCTGCCATCTACTGCCTCCTTCAGGTAGTCTTCCCTGACCTCACATCACTCTCTGATGTCCTCCCACTCCTTCGTCATGTCTGGAGACTGCTGCAGAGCTATGACCCCACGGATGACCTCGTCCTCTACCAGCAGGACATCGCCGGCTTCTTCAACTTCGTCACACATCCTCGCATGATCTCCACAGTTGAGTTCCTGATCACACGATATGCCGCTCTCCAAGGCTTGGATCTCCGAGATGACCCTGTACTCAGTGTCGCTCAGCATCAACAAGAACGCCTTCAACGCATCTTTCGCGGCCGATGGCGCAAGACCTCCCGCTCCTACCATCCTATACACCTTCGAGACCTACCGGACCTGGTCTCTCACCTTCTGGCCTCCTCCTACTTCACTGTGGGACTCACCGTCTTTCGACAATGTCAAGAGAGCATCCATGGGCTCACCCTTGGCCCCTGCCTTATGCAGTGCTGTCGCACTATTCAGGGAACATTGCTTCCTACGTTCCTTCCCCACTTCCTCGGCGCTATGCCACAGGATTGGCACTCCGGGCACGTTATGTGGACAATGTCTTCTTCCTTGGACCCGCGCATATGCTTCATACCGACTCCTTCAGGGCGATCGCTCAACCTTTCTTCTATGGGAGACCACTGGAGATGGAGTATGTCACGGATGAGACCTTACTTGGCTTTGTTGTTTCCACTTCACAACGCACTATTACCTTTCGACAACCACCCCACCTCACCTTGATCCGCAGCAACCGCACCGCTGGATCCCCTCAGATGGCACTCGCCGGCTTCTTCACCCGCGGCATCTTGATCTGCCGCTTGACTCGACCTCGCGATCTCATTTTCCCGCAACTCATTGACCTCACTCAGCAATACCCCGACAAGGATTTCACCATGGCCCAACTTTTACCACTTCTCCATCAACTTTGTCACCGCTTCCATCTACCTCGACAAACACTTCATTCTCAATGTCGGTTTCTCACTTTCTCACCTGATGCAGCACATGGGAACAATCCTCGTGACAAAATGACAGCCGCACTCACCTTTGTCTCTGCAACACATGCTCTTACACTTCGTCCGCTTTCACTCATCTTCTCATCGTTTTATTCTACCAGTATTTCGGCTCAAACTCCAAATTTTCTCCCACCCCATCGGACCTCATGTCTACAGTCGCGACCCAGCTGAACATCGTCATCGTTGCACTTCGTCTTTTGGCAGACATGATTCAGTCCCCAGAGGAGCCATCACCAACTGTCATGGCCCCAACTTCGTGCCCTTCTGGACCACCCGCCAATCAGACCTCACCTCTATTACGGACGACTACTTGCCCCTCTATCACTTGGGCAGTTTGCGGATCTTCAGGACTACAGACACATTTCCGGCTCCTCACCTCCCCCCTCCCCGAAGGAGGTCAGTCTCAAATGCAATGAACGACTTCGACCCAGTTGGAACTATGTTGCCAGCAAAATGCAGCGCCCTCAGTCCCAGATCCGTGCTCGTTGGAACGACTCACTATACCTCACGACGCTCTCCCATACCCTCACGGTCGTCATTTCACGGACTCAACTTTTCTCTGTAAGCCGTCGGCTGAAAAAGACATCGCCGTCACTTTTTTGAGCTTGCATGCATTTCGTTTTCTTGAGATTTTGAACTTCCGGGTCCACCCCAACGTTTCGTTTCGTTCATCTAGTGTCTTGGCTCAAACTTCGGTCTCACCGCCCTCCACTCGAACTCTTTTGACGAGCTCAATGCCTACGTCATCCAGTACATGCATTCGACGACCTCGTCCTTCCGTGGCCTCTCACCTTCGGGACCCTGATGAACCTGTCCTCATCTCCACCAATTTCCCGAAGAAAGCTCGCCCGGCACAGCCTCCTATTTCACTGCGGATGACGTTGACCTCTCCTTACAGTTCGACTCCCCCCACAACCTCTTCACGCGCGACCACGCTGACCTCGAGTACTTTTTCCTCGGCTTCACCCCCTCCTCTGGTTGGATTTCTCGTCAAACTCAATGGAGAGCAGGTACCATTTCTCATTCCCCGCCCGTCGATGCCTTTTCGACTACCTGAGGCTAAGCCTTAATTCAATAATTCATCTCTTGGTTTCATCTTACTACTTTTGCTTCCCATTTGGAAAACGACCCTTGCCGCACTGTATTTCGACTTTCACCTTCCCTCAATCAATCTGCATCTTGTTCACCTTTTCTTCCTTCCTCTTCCTTCCGCAGCTTTTGGGTTCAGACACGCGATCCTCGTTTCGTTGTTCCCACTCCTTTCCGTTCGACATGGAGAACACCCACACCCCGAACGATGACGCTCGCAACCCTTCGGATTGTTCATCTCCGACTCAAGTACCTACTGATGATTGTCCTTTGACCCCGGAACAGATGGCGATCTCCAGCCGTTTCGCTCTGCCATTCGGACGTGATGGTCACCCCATCGTGGTCGATTTGGCCCCTGGATCCACCACCTGGATTGATACGCACGCAGTGGACCCCACCTTACTCCCAGGACTTCCTCGCGTTGAAAACCAATACAACGAGGATTACACTGACTATGCTCAACAGGTCCACGATCATGCTCATGGATCCTTTCCTGTTGCCAAACCCTATGAGGAATGGGCACGCCGCCAATGTGGTCCTTCTCGTCACTGGTTCTATCGCTCCTGGTTCCACCACCAGACCCTTCGCTGGAACCACGACTATATTCCGTACTACAAATCAGCTTCAGGCTATTTCATTGACGTTCACCCTGCCTCATATTGGCACACTGAGCATTTTCGTGTGTGGGGCACCCGGGGCTGGCAACTTGTGCTACCAGCCACTCAAAGCCTTCCCATTTGGGAGGCATGTGTGAATTATGAAGATGCACTTCGTTGTGAGGAGGAACGACTGGCCGCTGAAAACAACCCGGTCATGTCCGACACCACTGCGACAGCTCCCCCCAGAGGACGTAAACGTCAGGCTGTCGACAATTTGGAACACCTCAACGCGCAGTACCAACTGGAAACACTCCTGCAGAACTTCTCCCAGATGGACGTCTCGCAGACTCCAATGCTCAGGGGCCTCCCAGCTCCGGAACAACGACAGCTCGTTGACGGTGTCGTACACACCCTCACTACGTATCAGGACGAACTCCAGCAAGCACTCCGCCAAGATGATCCCGCTCCTGCTCCTGACGGTTCATCCGCGGCCCCTTCGGCCTCTACAGGTCAAGAACTCCCGATCGACCCGGTCGCTAGCGGCACAGGACTTCCCGTACCTGATTCGGGATCTATGTCGCTGAATTCCTCCTCTAGAGATTCCCAGAACACCTTGGCTCCTCCTTTTCCACCTTCTGATGGGACCCACGATTGACCACCACTTGGACGCCAACAAGATGTTCAGGTCGAGGCCGTACGAGCTTCCCTTGTACATTAGAACTCACCGTCAAGTCGAAAACAATATTGCTGCACTCCAGATCTTTCGGTTGCCACTTGCTCTGTTTTCATTTTCATTCTCTTTTTTACACTTGACACGGTTCTCATCTCATTTTTCCACTCTCTTTCTCTTTCTCTCCGCAGCCGTTGGCTCCACGCGTATGTACACTCTTCACCCGTCTACTCCTGCCTCCTTCCGCGATGATCTCCTCTCCTGGACTTCGAGTTCCTGAACCTCTGACCCAACTGATACCCACTACGTGGCGTGATGTTCGTCAACCCTTTGAATCCTTGGATCTAGTACCCAACCTCTCCACCATTCGGTCTCGTCTACCAACCCCTCAACTACATCACCGTGACCCTGGACACCCACCAAATTGAAACCAAGGAATACACTGTTGACGATCTCAAAGATGTGATTTACTCCCGTTTGGGACAACAACGCACGGCATTTTGGATGGCTCTCCCCTCTACCGGAGACTCCCGCGTTTGGGAAGTCCCACACACCTGCACACTTGAAGACCTCGTGCTCTACTACGTCAATTCCCGACGGATTCGCCCTGTGGGGATCGCAAATGAATATCCTCGCGAATCCACTCCTTTCCCATACCCACCTCTTCACACTGTTGCTTCCCGCTTACACGATGATGCTATATGTCAACTCCGACTACCTCTGACAGCCTATCAAACTTACCGCGAACTTCGTCAGTTCACCTAGTCTCACGTAACCTTTGGCGCGGAGCTTAAAACTTGCCTCCCCTCGGGGAGGCGTGTGTGTGTGTGTGTGTGCCCCTTGTAGTCACAGGGATTCTTTTGAATTGTTTTTACTCAGCAGGGGGGTGCAGAGCACAGTGGAGACTGCACCCAACGAAGCTATCCACTTGTGCTGGAAGCAGAGCCTGATCAGCTCTGTGTACCTGCTTGAATTTTAGGATTTTGGTAAAGGGCTAATGCATTGGCAGATGTGAGCGGACCGCCGTCAACCTGTTCGACCCGCTCGCCGCCTTCGATCTTCCGCTTGGGCCTCTTGAAGAATTCCAGGATCCAGTGGTTCGTACGTGTACCCTTAGGAATTGGAACCCTAGGCCGGCGTGTGGCACCGCTATCAAGTCAGTACGCATATCCATAAGTGTGTGTGTGTGTGTCAACCCCTGTTTCGAAGGGTTCTCAGTGACTTGCTGTCTTTCGCTTGATCTTTAATTTCACATGCATTACTAGCAGGGGGTAGCGCACGACTGACAGACACTAACTACCCAACGAAGACACTGTCAGATCGTGGTCAAGCAATGTGGGACGCCACATTGTGAACCTGCAGCTGTTTTAGGCTTGCTTTGTTGATTTAAACCATATTGTTTCAGGTCAGTCGAGGTCGTTCTTGCAGTAACTAGAATGTCAAGGGCTGATACATTCGTGATTCGGTAACTGATTGAACGCTCGATCTGTTGAGCTCTATATCGAAGTGTGTCCGCTCACCAAACCGACAACTGAACAAAATGGCTGAGTCCACAGCAAGACGCGGAACCAAGCCACCCTTGTCTTCGGCCTATCTGCAAACGGCATCCGCATAGCGCAATCTTTGTCCAAGCCATTTGTGTACATTGTTGTATGTGGAAAATTGAACACTAACGTGCACAAACGTCACAAATCTTTAGATGAGTCCTGCCTTGGGCTTTTCTCGGCCATCGTCTCTGCGCTCGTCTCGCCAGTCATCCCGGCGCTCTTCCCGATGATCATTACGTCGGTCATCTCTCCTGCTGCCCGGGCGGTCATTGCGCCGATCCGCTCGCCAGTCTTCAGCACCATCACGCCGGTCATCAAACCGGCGATCATCATACCGATCGTAGTTCCTTAGCAAAACGTCCACTCCTTCTCGCAACTACGACTTTGTCCAACTTCGCTGACCACGCAAACCGCACAACCTTCAGGCATGAGTTCAAACCTATTCAAACCTGATGCTTCCTGCAGAGTCGGCCTGAAATTCTATAAGTGAACCGTGAAACAGGACACCAACAATCAAGACCCTTGGCCCTTGCCCCTCTATGCCCCAGACCGCTCGTCACTTCTGTCCCTGCGCCACGAACTTTCGGCACCTCAGGCTGACTGCCAGTAAGCAAAAGCACTGGCACTGGCAAAGTGCAAAGAAAGAAGTGATTCTGGTCAGCGTCATCAACCACTCAACTACTGCGCACATGCATCATTTCTGCAGCAGGCCACCAGGGAGAGCTTTCAGAGAAACATTCGTCTTGAGCCCACCGGAGCCAATAACTACAACAAGTCACGTTGCTCGACCGCCTTCACATTGAAGCGAACATCAATTTCGGCAGGCTAGACAGGGCTTGCGCACGCTTCGGATTTGTACGCGCATCATCGTCGGGCAGAGCATGTGGTTGAACTGGAAGGTTTTGTTGGCCTATGCCGCCCTCGGACGAAACACAAAGCATGGCGCGACAGAACAGTCTCTATACTGCGCGTTGCCCAGTGGTCAACGATCACCACGGTGCCCAACCTGAATCCAAGACAAACACCTTAGCGCGGCGGTAGTAAAGAAACGGAATTCCTAGATTGCGTTTTGAAAGTTACGGTTTCGGCGCTGTCTTGGCGCTGTTAGCGTTTTTGTGGTCATGGGTGCTTTTCGTCAATACCAAATCCTTTCAATATAATCTACAACTCTAAATGCGTAGGTATCGCCGCGGCTTCTGTGGTAAGGCCGTTTTGCGAAAGGTAAACCAATTCAGGCTGAGTTAAGTGGTGTTCTACTGGAACTACGCCAAAAAAGAATTCCTGTCAAACGCGTCTCTACATCTCAGGCTTCTGAGCATGATTTCACCTTTGGTCAGCGTCCCACCTATCAAATGCAATCTTTATGGGCTCCTATTACCACGCGCCGCTCAGCATCCGAGTCTCGAGATACTATTACGTACGATCCGCGCGACGGATGAGTGGCGCACCAGACCTAAGGACGCCTCAAAAGTTGGCAAGCAAAACGGAGGAATCACTCAGAGTCAAGCAGGCATAAGTACTAGTACTAGAGGAGTAGTAGTAGTAGTAGTAGTAGTAGGAGTAGTAGTAGCTGTAGTAGTAGTAGTAGTAGTAGCAGTAGTAGTAGTAGTAGCAGTAGTAGTAATAGTAGTAGTAGTGCTAGTAGTAGTAGTAGTAGTAGTAGTAGTAGCAGTAGCAGCAGCAGCAGGAGGAGTAGTAGTAGTAGTAGTACGTAGTACGTAGTACGTAGTACGTAGTACGTAGTACGTAGT